TCTTTTTAATGACTTGGAATCACTGCGGCGCCGCACCCACCGCACCGCAACGGTAAGACCGGAGTCTGTGTGAGCCTGGGGTCATGCAACCCTTCACCAGGTTGTATTGGTTGAACAAGGCAACAACTCATCCTCAGAGTCCTTCAGGAACCACCTCCTGCATCCCGCTGAGGTAGGGGGTGTTGCTGCTGCCAGGTGATAGTAAGTGGTTTTTCTTTGGATCCCTCTGGACCCTGTTAGCATAGGTCATTCGGTGTTTAAAGTAGGTAGGCATGAAATAGAATGTAAGTGTAGCTTGGTACACAATGAAGCTGTCTACACTACACATTTAATTTGAAAGTCTGCTTTATTTTACTCTGCAAAGAGCCAAAGATGTGTATATTAGAATCAGAGTTCGCCACACATGTATATCAGCTTCACAGTTTATATGTGCCATGAGTCTCTGAATGGCTGAGAACACACGGTGTGGCGACCCTGCTGGTCAGGGTTCGACAGTGACTACTGTTCAATAACTCATTTCAAATAATAAAACAACCTGTACTTATTAGAAAATTATTTCACCATAATTTGAACATAAACGGTGTTAAATGTATATTATATTTAACATGTGTTAGATTATGGGGTAGGCATTTCAACCCACTGATGGCTCTGTATGCCACATAAGCTATGTATATAACTACGGTTCTATGAATTCTAGATGACGGCCGGAGCATTTGGTCCCTCTGTATCGCTGGGCTCGAGAGAAGATCCAGGGACTAAACTCCTGATTTCACATCGTTAAATAGACTTACATTTATCACGGTAGATCTTTGTTGATACTAATCCTAAACCTGCACAAGAGTGATCATTCTGTGTTTGAAGCACCACCTTTGGAGGTCACCCAGGATTTGTAGATACATATTTAACTGTTTGTCAGCCCCTCTGAGCTGTTTTGGTTCTCATGGTAAGGTGTGATGATCACTTTGATTTATTAAGAAATGAGTTTCAAAACTTGAACCTTGGCTCTTTTCCTGCTTCAAACAGCAAAAAGTATTAAGCATGAAAAGCTACTGAGCTGAGTCCAACCTCCACCTGAGGTTCCCTGGTCTCAACTCTCTGCAACCTGATGTTCTTCTTCTGTTTTAGCTTCTCTATGTTCTACAGTCATTGCTACTGTGATTTTCTTCTCTCTTCTAAAGTTTTTTTACCTTCTAGTGGTTATTGTTCTGTGATGCTGTCCTTCTCAGTGCTTCAGTCTGAGACAGTGGAGATCAGAGAGGGGGTGAAGTCTGTCCTGCTGCCCCTAAAAGCCAACAGAACCTTTCCCCAGGGTGTCAGAGTGGAGTGGACCCGTTCTGACCAGAACATCAGAATCCATGTGTTTGAGAACGGCCAGACCCAGCCTGAGGAACAGGAGAAAATCTATGAAGGAAGAACAAAGATGAGAGCAGAACCTCTGACTACAGGAGACCTCAGTCTGACTCTGAAGAGACCCCAGCTGGAGGACAATGGGGACTATGAATGTATCGTCTACAGAGGAGGAGACCTGCTGCTGAAGAAAACGGTGACCCTGAAGGTCAAAGGTCAGTCTGACTCCAAAGTTACAAGATCACAGCATCCAGCAGATTTGATATCTGCATAAAATTACATTAATGCCATCATGTTAATGTCAAGTTAATGCCTCATCCATCCATCCATCCATCCATCCATCCATCCATCCATCCATCCATCCATCCATCCATCCATCCATCCTCCATCCATCATCCATCCATCCATCCATCCATCCATCCATCCATCCATCCATCCATCATCCATCCATCATCCATCCATCCATCCATCCATCCATCCATCCATCCATCCATCCATCATCCATCCATCATCCATCCATCCATCATCCATCCATCCATCCATCCATCCATCCATCATCCATCCACCAATCCATCTNAGCTGAGACCAGCTGTCTGATCTCAGAAGAACCCTGGAAAGTCAAACTGTCTGAACCTGCCTGCCCGCTCTCAAGAAGAGAACTGGAAAGTAACTCTGATCTGAACACTGCAAAGTCTGAAGTCAAGCCCTGCCTCTGCCTAGCCCTCTGCCTACCTTCTGCCTCTGGACCCTCCTGGTTTCCCCCCTCTGCCGCTCAGCCTACATCACTGAACAGGTACAGACCTGGATTACTCAACAAGTAACAGTATTTGGATCTCAGCTAACCGAGCTGTCCCTCTCTGCAGAGAACCCAGTTGTGACCAGTCCTGGATCTGTTTCCCAAGAATCAATTCTTTAATATCATTGTGTTTCAATAAACTGTTAAATTTTTCCCTCTGAGTCCGTGTGTTCTGCATATGCGTTAGAAACCTTGGTCCCAGCATGACACTTTATCTATGAGAAAATGAGGGTGATAATATACGGCCTGGTTGGCTTTCACTGAACCATGATTGTTTTAGTCAGTATAATCATTTCTGATCAAATTAAAACCAACCTTAAATATCCATCCATCCATCAATTATCTGACACGCTTGTCCCGAGTGGGGTCGGGAGGGGTGCTGGTTCTCCAGCAGTCAATGGGCGAGAGGCGAGGTACACCCTGGACAGGTCGCCAGTCCATCGCAGGGCAACGCAGAGACCAGCCTTAAATATCTAAACCAAAAATTATCTTTTGAAAATAAAAAACTCAGCAGGAACTACCTTTTCCTATGTCGGCTTCAGAACTGAAAAACAAAACTTTTATCATCAGCCCTGTGGTTGTTTAAAAACAAGACGGGCCTCGTTTTGTTAATTTCCTGCTGTCACCATGTTCCATAATGTTATGGACGGACCTGGAGATGAAAACTGAGGCAAACCCAGAGAGAGAAAAGGGTCCAAACATGGTCTGACACAGTAGTAGTAAAATGTGCACAGGTTTTAGTCAAACCAAATTCTCTATTTCCACAGCAGCCACTCGGAGAGATTAGCTTCATCTTTTCATGATTTTGTGGTATGTTGCTTTGTCCCTGTGCCATAAATGTCTGAGGTTCTGACTAAGACAGAGAAAAGGTGATGGTTGCTAGGACTTATGGAAATGTAAACAAAATAGCACCTTATAGAGGAAAATGAATGAATAATATAATCCAATAGGATAAAATCTAAAGTTATATGTCACTTTAATCTGAATTAGATTTCACTAAATGAAAAAACTAAGAGAAAATATTAATACATGTGCATATCATTAAAACATATGAACAATAAAATCTATTATTTTCATCCCTTAAGTGTTAAAAATAAATCAACCTTACAGATTACCAAATCCATCCATCCATCCATCCATCCTTCTCCGGGTCAGGGGGGGTGTCCTGCCCCAAGTGGAGGAGTTTAAGTATCTTGGGATCTTGTTCACAAATGAGGGAAGAAGGGAGCGGGAGATCGACAGGCGGATTGGTGCAGCGTCTGCCGTGAAGCGGGCGCTGTACTGGTTCGTCGTCAAAAAGCGAAGCTCTCGATTTACCGGTCGATCTACGTTCCTAAACTCATCTATGGTCATTAACTC